AATTCGTCCTTAGCCAACGACAGTTGAAGTTAAGGCGAGTTGTGAACAAATCGATCCCATCCTCTATAATGCTCATCATTCTTTGTAATCTCAAATGATAGTTTAGGGTGTTAGATTGATTGATGAAGTGGTTGATGCCACGACAGTGGATCCTCTTATTTTTATGGTTGAGTTCTAGATTGGTTCTAAATTGATATCCTGAATAATTTCTTGGTTCTAGATGATCTAATCCCTAAGATATTTTCTCTTAGCCTAACGTCTTTATTATCATTTGTTTAAACCGAATTTACATAATTGCTTGCTATTAGTGACAACTTAAAACCAACTTAATCGCTTAGCTGAAATTGTATTCCAAAAGATTAGAGTGTATTGATGGTCCCTTTGAACGAACCTAACTATTCTACATCGGGCCAGTGATTCTAGGTTTGACTCATAAACCGGATAAAAGTCATTTTATCACATATTTATAAAATATTAGAAAGAACATAGAAATCTTCTACCTATACTTTTCAATGTTAAAAAAAAAAAAATTTATACATGGTATAAGATAATAATAATATATTTACTGTTAAGATCCAAAAGTGTAAAATTTGACGAGTATATATAGATCTCTATGAAAAATAAACCAATAACATTTATCAATTATAGATTTTTATATAATGCTTGATAAATTATTTATAAAATATTTTATACGTGTTGACTAAAAAAAATTATAGGTTTTTATGAGATTATTCACACAAATTTATTGTTTTATGATTTAATTTTATGATATTTTAATTGTTATAAGATTTTTTTATTTAAGAAATATAGTTAATAAGATATTTTGGGTTTGCTTCGTATGAATTAAGATATGAATTAAACTTTAATGATTTAAGATCCATGTTTAAATATTATAAATGTTTTTATAATTTAACGGATTACTAATTAAAACTTAAATTTTGAGATTAATAATTTTCAATGTGTTTACCAAGATGGGTCCTAATCTAGTTATATATATAAAGATGATGTTTTTCATATTCACCAAACCATAATTAAAGAAACAATGGATTCTGCCAAAAATATTGCTAGGAAAAAAAAAATCAAGTGAAGGTTGGGTAGGTTTTTAACGCTTACAAAAAAATCTTAGAAGAATGGTGAGCGAGCGGTAGATGTAATAAATTGTAACGCTTACAAAATGTCACACTCACACTCACAAGAGACAAGACTCATAAACCATATGACTTTTTCTTTTGACCTTTTCCTAAACTGTCTCTTACGTATAAAGATTATAAGATACGCGGGTAATTTAGTCACCGCTTATTATTGGTCCACAAAAGTCTCTTTTCTCGCATTCTTTATTAATACGCCAAACAAAAGGAACAACAATTAAGGTAAATTCAGAAAATTGAAGTTTTTTATAAGAAATGAAGGTAATGCATTAATGGGAAGAAATTTATTGCGACGTACGTATAAATTAATGAACCACTGAACAAAGAAAAAAAGAAAATTTCTATCTATTTAAAAGACAACAAGATTCTCTTCGGAGTAATTTAGGATAAAATGGTAGGCAAATTGGGATCATTTCAAGAGCAAAGCAGAGAGAGGCTTGTCTCGCAGAAAGGATACTCAGATTTCGGTTTGGATGACTCCAATCATCGGTGTTTCGAGGACTGCGGGATCACCAAATTGTACGAGATGGGACGTTCTGATAATCGGAAGCTCTTTTTCGCCGTCAAGATGGGAATGGCTCTTGCCCTATGCTCTGTAATCATCTTCCTCAAAGGGCCGCTGCATGATGTCAGTAAATACTCTGTATGGGCCATCCTTACTGTCGTCGTCGTTTTCGAGTATTGCGTAGGTATTTTTGTTCGTTCTCGATTGATTTGATTTTGGTGGGAGAATATTGGATCTTTTTCGAGGTTTTGAGTTTTCTGTTTATGGTGACAATTGCACAAATCCTAGTAAGATTAAGCAGTTGTGTCATTTATACATTCTTCTAATGCAAAATGTGAACTTGTTTTTTGGA